TATATATATATATATATATATATTGCCCATAGTTTGAAAGCAGCATTCGGAGGTCCCTCAATCTGACGCTCTAAGCTTATTACCATCTTCCGCCAGCTGCTGGCAAACACAGGATAGGGGCAAACACAGAATAGGGGCATAGTCACTGCCCCTATTAGCGTAGCTTTTATTTGATGCTACTACTGTGTGCCTGTGTGCAGATATGACCCAGCGGTGTACGCGACAATATGGGGGTTCTGGAGGAACCCCAGCAAGATTTGGTTGTTGCTACATGAGTTTTTAAACGAGAACGAACCCGTGCCTAATAGGGCTCATTTGGCCTTAGCGCGTTTGGAGGCTCTAGGCATCGTGCGGGCGGTAGTGACCCAGAACGTGGATAATCTGCATCAAGATGCAGGCAGCATACGCGTTATCGAATACCACGGCAACCTCATGAATGTACGTCTTTGCTCTCCGTTGCGTGTTTCGTATTGAATGACAAAAGTATGGAAAGCGCAAACGGCAGGAATGCCCTGGCAGCGTCTAGGGTGACAGCTGGTTTTTGCCCTGGGCTTTCCTTTGCATCTTGTGTCATTTCTTATTCTGAGCTGAACGCCTCTCTTCTGGCACCATATGTAGGCTCTGACCCACCATTTGTGGAAATGAAGCCTCTTGTGTCGGGACATATGTCGTTCCATAGATTGCTTGCGAATCAACAAGAGCGAGGGTTCAACGGATCTATGGGGGCAGTGAGGGTTCCACGTAGCATGTGGTTTTGGCACTGTTTCCGAAGGCCTCGTGTTATCGCTGCGGCGCAAAGATGCAGCTGACGAAGCAGATGGCGAGGAATCCTTCATTTAAGAAGAAGCTACCTCCAAAGGTGGACGCCTTTGAGCATGCATGCAAACACGGAGATGATTGGATTTTTTGAGCTTAGGTTTTAAGCGGGAGGTACCGTTCTCCCACATGCCATGCTATCATAACTGATGAGGGGGAAGAACATCTGTGTGAGCTTGCTCTATTTCTTTGCTTTTTTGTGCCATTCTTTGCAGTGTGGGTGCGGGGGGTACTTCAAGCCAGATGCCGTTCTGTTTGGAGAAGGCATTCCATCTCAGGCCGTGAGCGAGGCGAACAAAGAAGCAGATGCATGCGACTTGATGTTGGTTGTGGGTACATCAGCAACAGTTCATCCAGCGTCCGACATTCCTTATAGAGCCATGAGGAAAGGCGCAAAGGTTATCGAAGTGCGCTGGATCTAGTCAGAATTGAGCGCTACATCTTCTTCACATAGCTTCAGGGAAATGCAACGAAGACAGGGTGGAGGCTGGGTTGGTGTGCTCTGCTAACGAAGATATATGCATGCATGCAGGGTTCATGCGAAGTTGTTGCATCTAAGTACGCAGTATGCAGATTTCACCCGACCCAAACTAGTATTGTGGTACCGTACGGTATTGCCTCTCTTGTGCTTTGCAGGTTAATTTAGAGGAGACAGGCTTGACGAATCGTATATCTGACATGATATACATTGGCAGGTGAGGAGGAAAATAGGCATATTTATGTGTGTGCTGTTCGTTGCGTGCTGGACTTGTGGCTTGTGGATTCATTCACATTGGAGCGTCGGCAGTACACATGCACTGTCCGATCAGAGCAAAGCTCTTGTACTGCTGTCCGTGTGGTAACGCTGTTGCTTCAGGGCGAGCGATCTGATGCAGACGCTACAGCTGCTAGAGCCGCACCCATCTGAATCAGCAAGCGGAGAGGATTCTGCTGCTGAAGTGCTCACGGAGCCCAACGTTCAGGCAGGGGCTCAAGAACCCCCCGCAAGGGGAAGCAGCGATGGACCGATTTCGACTTGACGTGTTGCATTGTTATACATATTATGAACTTTATGGTCCGATGCCGTTTTCTGGATAACGCGATAATACATATACATATTTACACATATACATGCACGTAACACATGAAATTCAGAGCAATAGTGAGTAATACGCATGAATGGTGCAGATAGCGTACAGCAGGTGAACTTCACATACGGCAGAATTTTCGTGAGGAGCAACGGCCATATCAATGGCCGCTTCTTGCAGTGCACACTCTAGCGCGTCCGCATATATATATATATATATATATATA